GTTGGAAAGAGAGTAAGGACGGAAGTATTGAAACTGTGACTTCCGTTTAAGAGTGAACACACGCTCATTGTCAGCTTGCCCATATGATTTTAAGGAATGTATGGTAACTTATGAGAATAAATTTGATGGGACTAGATCATGACTATATCATCAAGGGTTTTATCGCACTTTTGTTGCACTTCATCAAAAAAGGCTCCATTCAGAGTTTGAAGAAGTTTTTCAGACCTTACATTTAGAGTTCAGAAAAAAGTTGAAAATGTCCTTTCAACTTCAGCTTTATGAAAGATTTATGGGAATGAGAATGAATACAAATAAATGCGAATGATCGATGCATGAACCCGACCCGACACACTAACACTAAGTTCAACTGATTTGCTCATCTTGAAAATGAGTAAACACAAAACAAAACGTGTCGAAGAGCACTGCAATAGTACAACAACAACTGACTGAATCGAGTTGTTCAGCTTACGTTCAGTTTGGAATACTGAAGATTGGAGACGAGAAATGTGTTTGCGTGTGTGTATTGCTGCAAGGAAACAATGAAGTTAGTTGTGAAACACGTTCAGCTTTGAACACGCTCTAGACGAGTGCATTGGGAAAAAATATGAGGAAACATTTCTAGGAAGGAGGGTGGATATACGGCAATATCATCGTCGTATTGTATCGCATGAGTGAATGAGATGAATGCAATGCGAGATAAGCGGAACGGCTTGAAATTCGCAATCATTATGGGATGAAAAAAACTTAGGAACTGATCTGATGTGAGCAAGTTAAGAGCTATGAGAAATGCAGTAAAGAGATGATGACTGATTCTGAGTAATAATGAGTAAAGGGAAAACTGAAAACTGGATGCGAATGAGAAAAAAACTGCTGCAGGAGATTAAACGATGGAACGATGAGATCAACTCTAAAGAAGAGTTGGTTATGGGCGATAAGATGAGCTTATAGTGAGCCTACTAGATAAAGGAATATTCCAAGTAAATTGACAGAAATGAGCAAAAAAGTAGAATAAAATAAAATAACACGAGAGTTGAACAAATTCGATAAAAAGTCAACTGAAGTGAAAGGGAACTAAAATAGCTCACAGAGATGAAATGCAGCTTATATAGCAAAAGGTGGGATAAATTCATAACAAACGAACGCACAACGGATATTGCACCAGTCGATACGTATACTTGGAACGAGTGACTGACTTGTAAGCAAACTACTAAAAATGATGCGAAAGAAGAAGGTAAAAGTGAAATCAGATAGTGATGCGTAGAAAGTAAAATGTGAGGAGGAAATATTGTGAAGGAAGTGCTTCACTAGAGATTCTCTTAATCCCTAGTTTAGAGTAGAGATAACAAAATGAGTATATGGTTTGATAGAGCAAGATCTCTTCAGCAACGTTGACGAAAACGAGTCGAGTCGAGTCGAGAGTGGAGAGGGAGCCACTGGCATTGTGGCGAGACTTACTCCCGAAAATTTATTGTTCAATTATAAGCTGCACAACACAGTCACACACACACATACACTACTCTTCTGGCTCATCATTTTCTGCATATGAAATTCGTCTCGTCGAGTGCAAAATGAGTATTTCTCATCATTTGCACTAGCAAAAACATAGCGAATCATATCCTCTGCAGGCGAACGAACAGCGGCCGATAATTGAGTTCTCGAGTCATTTAGATTCATGAACAACTGACTGACGAGTGAAAAACAAGAAAACATAATGAGAAACGAGCAAGCAACTCATCGTGAAATAGTCTCAAATAAATTTTGAAGTGTATGCGATGATGATGAGAATGTGAAATCGTTATCTTTAGTTTTGTTCTGTTTTGCTGTAAATTGACCAAGACGTTCAGATGAGATGAAAGAGCACAAATAAGAAACAGTGATAATAACGTAAACAGTGCCTCTGACTAGTTAGCTGGAGCTGCTGCTGCTGCTGCTTTCAAGCTCGAATTCGACTATTCATCAGGTGCGGTACATTGGATTACGATTTTAGAAACGTGGGGATTCTCGACGTCAGGAGCTCTTGACTGCAGAAAATCTCGAAGTTTTGGACGAAATTGAATGAGAGGATAATAGATGCAAACGGGTCAGGTATATGGAAGAAGATATAGTTTCAAGCTGGAAGCAATTGATGTGAATGAATCTACGTCTAGTTCAATAGGTGCTTCATTTATTCGACTATACCTAGGTGATAATAATAGTAACATAATAATAATAACTATGATAAAATTAATAATCTTTGATAAAGTTATGACTATGCTTACGTATAGATACGGATAATGCATGTAAGTACGGATAAAGTCATTATATTCCCATATTTGCTCATACAGATAGATATTCGTGATGAATATGTGATAGAACGGTGAATGAATGAATGAAAACGTGAGAGGAGAAGCATTTCCGCAGCTTGTCTTATTTGTGGCTGGTTGGTTGGTTAGCTTTGGCTAAATAATTCACTGATGTTGTCCGCTTAAAGCCGATTGGTGACGCCTTTGGGCGAGTAACAGAATAATGCTTCATATGTTATATAATTGCTAGTCAACACGGCCAAGCCAAGCTAATCAACTCTCCATGCCATAAATCATGCATGCATTCCTCATCCAAAATAAAACCAAAACGAATAATTAGAATAATATGACTGAGTTTTAATTATAGCAAAGGTACGTTCGTTCGTGTACACAGCTAAGTTCCATTTATTTAAAAGTATACATAAACTAATATACCTATTTACCTATACTATGAAAACTACATACTTTGTGAATGAATAGCAAGATCATCTTGCATACAAACATACGCAGTAAAATTATGTGTTACCGATTTTTTAAATCCACAACTCTTATAATTAGGTTATCACGTGCATAAAGATATTAATGAATTATTGTATGAGTTAATGAATTAATATAATAATGACTTATGGGAGGTAAACATGGATATTGCCTCTGAAAAAGGTATGTAGACGTGGGTAATTATTGATCATGCAATTTAATATGCATTGTTGGAGACATAATATGTGATATTCTTGTTGTAATATCATATATCTTGTTCGTGGATGGATATCAATCATAGCTATCGCACATTCGAATAAATCCATATTCTTTTGAGATTATGGCGCAGATCTGTTGATTAATTCAATTTTGATGAGGGTCTCAACCATAATATAGGCAAGCTGAGCTGAAGACTGGCTCAATAACTGAAGAACAGTGGCCGTCAAATGATGTTTATATGAACGCTGAGCTGAACACAGGCACAAACAAGTCAAGTCCGCATAAACATCAATAATAAGCATTATGATGTCTATAAATAGATCCCCTCTCCCTTCTAATCATTACTAAATCCTCAGTTGATCGATACAATCCACTCCTTCTATTCAGCGGATATCTTTAATCGTCTCCTTCTCTCTAATCTCTTCTTGGTGTTAAACACTGCAATTACGAAAGATCCATATGCACAACTTCCTCAAATTATGATCATTTGCAACTGTACGTATATGTTTACTAGAACTTGACCGAGGTTATGCTTTAGATAAAATACCGGAATTTATTGGAATATTCCAAAGTATTGCAAGACATTCAAGGGCCTGAAATATTTTTACTTCGAATTCGTGAAGTGACCTTCCTTCGTCACTAGCTCCAGCGTTTTCCAATGTTCAGTGGGTATGTTTTTTGTTCTGTTCATTATTAGTATTACACTGTCAATGCTAGTTTTATTACTATTATTTTCAATCCTATAATTGTTTCATTTAGTGTGGTGAGACTATCAGTCAGAAACTTTGTCAGAAAGTTGTCAAATTCAGAAAATTCTTAAAAAATTTCACCATTTTTCTCACTGTCTGATGTGTTTTTATCATTAGATATTATTGTTAAACAATTTTGATCATGTGTTGCGTTCACTTTGGTTGCAGTGCCTGGATGAGTTTAATTGAATGTACTTACTCGCATTTGTTGAGGGCTTGTCCTTTGATTGAATCGTAGCATTTGTTTACAAGGTGGTGGTGGTTTCGTTGAGGTTGTTGACCACTTGAACAGTTGCCATTCGATAAATGCACTTCAAAATGAGCCCTTAAAAAAACTAGTCGTAGACATTGCACTATTGGTAACAATTTAAGCAATCAAGTGAAAAATAAGTAAAACATAAGTAACATGATTTCTGAACAGCTCTCGTTTGCTTGTAATTATTGATGTGCTGACTATGAATTAGAAAATGAAAACACGATTTTGCGCTAGAGTACAATTTTACTTTTTACTGTTAGAAATGAAGACGAATCATTCAGTTTATTGAATTCGTCATTACCTCTATCAATACTTTATACTATATTAATAGCTTAAAAGTGAAATTTATTAATGGCTGAGGAATGCATAGAAGAATGAGGAGGATTGAGTGGAAATCTCTCGATAGCTTTTTGTTTTCCTATCTAATCAAGTAATGAAATAATGTAGAGAGATCCGCTGATCTCCACACTTCATAACTAAGAACGACGTTCCATCAAATCAATGAATCTAGAAACCTTTGAAACGCTCAATAACAAATAGAAACATCCAAATTCTAGAAGAAACAGCAGCTGACACGAATCAACATAGTAACTATGCCATATGGCCGCCAGTCATGAACACTTTCAGAAATTGAAATGAAAATGCCATAGGAGGCAAAGTACTTCTCTCGTGTTGAGAATTTGATCTACCGAGCGATTTTTGACTTCATATGTAGCTATTTTATCGCTCAATAGATCACATACACATTTATGTAGCTCTGAATTATGCCTCTAGTAAAGGATCTGTTCGAGTTCAATACCATCATGCTCTCGGTGAATTGATAATCCAGATGCACCAACAGCTTGCTCTTTGGTGAAATAATAATGGACAAGCACCAAAATTTCGAGATTATTAAGAAATTATTAAGCGATACAGCTTCTAGTCCAAATTTTACCCGATGCATTGACACATTTCCACAATAAACTCAATTTGTAGACATTTGATTTCACCATCTGTCATGAACATCAAGTACTGCAGATGGATAATGTTGTTAATTTCAGTGGAGCTGAAAAATTTGGAGAAGAGAATGCAACTCAGCAACAGATTGCACCATGGACAGTTGTTTGCGTTACGACGCGAACTGCTGAGCAGAGAAATGCGGTACAAGAAGGTTGCTTGAATTCATCTGTTAAATTTGAGTATCTTTCGATTCCGTGTGAAACTGTTGTGATTCATTTTCGTTGTAACAGTAATATCATCAATGTTTGTGATAAAATTCAATAAATATGATGATAATGTGAATAATATTAAGGATAATGACAAGACAAGACAATGACATAATGACATAAAGATTGTGTAATGACGTTATGACATAATCATGACATAATGACATTGATGACAGTAATGGTGGTAACGGTGAGGATAATAATGGAACTAATCAAATTTTGAAAGATCTAAGACGCATAAGAAGTAGATCCACCGTGCATACACGTAATTAGATCCGTAAGAACTCAAGGATAGATCAACGTGTCTATTTCATTAGATCATATCGTCATAATAATGATAATGTTCACGATGATAGCAGTGATAAAACTGTAACTTAAAGATACCAACAATGATAATAATAACATGTTGAAGAAGTGAACTGGCTATGGAGATGTGGTGCGATTCCAGCCAAACACGTTCTCGTTATTGAAGATGCTTATCCAGATTTAGGTAGTGGAGGCTCAACACTGAACGCGTTGTTAGTTGTAGTTAGTGCTTTGCTGATTGATCTATTTCCTCGAATGAATTTATTCCCTCTGGACAAGACGACTAACTC